TCTATAAGTTTCGCCAGCCATCTAACAGCTCTGCTGCATAAATGCGATTACTATATGGAATTCTAGTGTGATTATAATTTATCTTTCGTCCTTATCTTTAAACTGGCGGATCATGGGCGAACATCAATCACGGACTCACACTGTCTGTTACCAAGGTGTCAGCAATGTTTTTAAATAGGATGCTTGACGCCTCTTTTCTGAGAGGTTTGAGGCTAACCAAAAAGTTGATTGCCCTGAAAAGTGATCCCGAAAGGATAAACAGAACGGAGACGTCGCGTAAAATAGAGATCAGCAAACAGTTACATGGATTGCAAATGTTGAAATATATAGTTATGAACGAGGCTGGCAAGTAACTAACAATGAAGACAATCAGCATTTTGAGAAATGAGGCGGTTGCCTTGCGTCCTTTCTTAATGTGACTTCTTTTCAGAGCTGACGTCTCAGAGCTCCCTCCTGTACACTCATCAACTGGGCTTTCTTTTACGAGTTTGACGTAATAAACAGCTGTTGTTATCAGTAGCATGCAGAAAGGCAAAGCTATGTTAAATGAAGAAAAAATAACCATGTACTTCATGTAACCAAACAGAAGATAAAGCGATGAGGTCATTATTGAGACTACCCATGTAGAAGCAACGAGCACTCGCGATGCAGCTTTGGGAATCCCCTTTCTGTATGAATAAGGGCGCAAGATGGCGTAGATTCGATCAATGCACAAGTAAACCATTGTAAGCAATGACACGCCCCCTAGAATAAACATGATCATATGCCCCAATGCAATCTCCTCCCTTTTAAGCTGTGCACTTTCTGCTTCTGATATGTGTATGCCGATATGAAGCGTATCTGCAAGAAGGCCAACCATGACATCAGAGATCGCGATGTTTAGCAGTAGCCTGTAGAATAAAATACGGAACTTCTTTGATCGATCCCGGTGTATAATGTAGACTATTAAGGAGTTAAGTAGAGACGTTGACGCAAATAAGATCACGCAGATGATAGCAGTTGTATATGACAGTAGTTTATGGGGATGTGACATCGGGCAGCTTTCAGCGTTCTTCATACTCTGAGACTTGCTACGAGGCTACCTTTCGTTATTACTTGCGAAAAATCTTCGTTCAATGATCTAATCACGTTGTTTTTACCAAAGAGCAAATCGCGTAACAAAAAGATAATATTTTCCAAATTTGGAAATGGCGTTCAGGTGTTGTTCATCGTCTAAAATTAATTCAGAAGATGATTTTCTTTTCTTGATTCTCTTCGTTCTTCAATCTTCTTTATCTGCGGTCAGATTTAAAGATAATAGCAAGTAACGCTCGACATCGAACAGTTCTCAAAACACAAGCATGTGAAACATGAAATGCAGATCTATCACTTGCATATGCAACGGCTCATTCTCTGCTTTTTCACAACCAATCCGCAATGGAGGTTTTTTCAAATAAGAACTTTATTCAGAGCACAGTCCTTTATTTACAAAATTACCAGCAGCAGATTTCATGGCAACGACAGCAGGTCCTTATTTGCAGAAATATTTGCAGCAACTACTCCCAACAGTTTTGCCCATTTGCACATTTCAATTTAAAGCTATTTGCACGAATGGGACGATTCTTTAAATATATTGGGCCAAGATCCGATAGCCAAAACAGACAGGAAAAAGATGATTGCTTTTTTACAAGTAAACGATCAATGATTGTGATTGTAATCGTCCGCATTAACCGTGGCAAAAAAACATTTCAATAAAACACGTGGAAACTAACCCAGATCTATAACTGTTTTTGTCGTTAGAACTCGCAGGTTGAAAGACGCAAGAGATTGCAGGTTGTCAAACAGGAGTGCCAGGTTGTTTTGCTAACAGCATCTCAGGAAATAAGAGCCAAACTCTCAAGTCTGATTGGATGTTTTCAATTAAATCCAATATGGTAGGATCATCTCAAAGTTATAACAACACAACTGTTAGTGTAGAAGTTGCCAACTTGAAAGGACTCGTATAAAGATATCACTACACATATCCCATGGCGACCAGAACTTCACTCAGCAACCAGCAATTAAACCTTGACTTTACAGATGATTAACGCTTCTGCTTCTAAATGTTCTATATAGTTTCAATACGAGCTAGAAACAAACCGATTTCCTTCTTCGGCACTCCTGTAAAAGACGCCTGTAGAAAGATTGATTATTTTTGCCGATTCAAGCAAATATCGACGACGGCAACTTGAGTATGCAGCTGTTGTTCAAATGTCTCTGATATCCGAATTTGTCCTTACCCATATATGTCGATTACCAAACAAGTTCGAATAGCAGTGTTTTCCAGCCTTAGTCACCAGCTTCATGAAAACCGTCTGCGTTTGAACTTCAAATTTAGATTATTGATCTCAATTTCATATAAGACCTCTAGTCTAACAAACGCACTCATCTAAATAATCGGTGCTCTTCAATATCTCATACTAAGCTCATGTTCTGTAGTTTTTAAACAAAGGATATGAAACTGGTCCATTGATTCGCCCAATTCTAACAGTAACTTCATATCTATAATATTACTATTTATGAATTCTGCTTTCCTTTGCTTAATAAACCATACTTTAAGCAACCTGCTACAGGTGACGCAAATCCCCGCAAGTATGAACTATCAACTGGTTTAAATTGTCTTTTATTTTATGCACAATCCGAGAAAACAGCAAAAAATACATTGGTATCAAAACGAAACATTTCAGATGATCTGCAAACAATGACTTTCCCATGTCAGATAAGTTCACTGCCATTTCTTCACAAAAATAGATAAGCAGAACATTTTGAAATGGCGAGTTTTTGCGAAGAAAAAGCACTCAAAAAAATCCCCAAAATCGATTTGATATCAGATATAGGTAACAGTACTGACTGTAACTAAAACGTATTTGCGAAATTTTCTTTGAAGGTTATTTAGAAAATTGTCTACGACTGTAACTTGGAAAATCATTTTGTCAAAACAGCGAAGAGTAGCATATGGTGTTAGCCTGTTATACCCTATTATATATGTCCCATCTATAGTTCATTATCTCTATTTACAGTCTATACTTTTCTTCTACCAATCCAATATAACTCTTTCTTAAATGCATCATAACTGCTCTAAGATTATTTGCTACAATTTGAGCTTTGGTCCCGTCAAGCCTGTTTAAATCTAAGTTCTACTCATTATTTTTACACATTTTAAGATTTGAAGCAACTTGTAATACAGAGGACAGCAATTCCTCCATAACTTGCATATACAAAACTAAAAATTTCTTGGGATTACCCAAGCACATATTTCATCTTTGCAACCTACCTCCTGAACTCCAACTGCCTGAGCACCATTCAGCGTCCTTTTTCTGGTAAAGGTATCAAGGTCCCAAAGTATAGAAGTGTCCTGTGAAGTTGTAATAGCATGGCGGCCAGAACCATGCACAGACATCTGGTGAATGGCAGATGAGTGACCATGCATTGTGCTGACTAGCTCTTTCGATTCTAGAAGATTGTTGGTCCTCATGAAGAGCTTTTAATTTATAATACATTTTTAATCTAAGCCTTTTTGCAAAAAGGATTGCAAACAAAACTTGTAAATGCATACAAAACTAGGACAAGAAAAAGATTAAAAAAGACACTAGGTATGTAATGCACATTTTTCATAGAAAACATTTAGGTAACGCTAAGATGACCGATGATGATGGTGGACACAAACACTAAATCATTAAATGCTCATATTTTATGTCAAAAAGCTACATCTAAAAACACACCAGTTTAAGTTAGGGTTACAATAAACAAGTGCAAATTACATTTAGGAATCTTAATACAGATTTGGAAGTAGATGGTAGATTCATATTATACCATCTAAGCACTGCCAAAGCATGATTAGGACACCAATATATATAACAGAATAATCAATTATATGCAGATAAAGGATTTTACAGAGAGGATTGTAGAATGATAAAACTTACCAGCATTATAGCATCTTAGCGAGTAATCTGATAATGCCACCAGGACTTCATTGCATTGATGCAAATTAAATGCAATAGCAGTACATGGTTTGCCAACTTTCTGTATCAACCCAAACCTGGAAAATATTATCCCAAGTATCAGGCATATCAAGAATGAATTTGAAGATGGGTGTAATTCAAAACAACTTAGGTGCAACAACCACACAATGACTAAGTATCCATCAAAGGTCTGTGATTCAACATTTATTCAATAAAACATTCATTAAGAAACACTTTAAGCTTTTGGAGTCAGTTTATAGTCTTCACATAAAAATCATTAACTTTAAATAAATTTTTATCATTTATAAACATATACAGGAATCTTTTGGATTTTGTACTTCAAAATGATTAAAGGACTGAAAAGTCAAATAATTTTTGTTAGAATAACAAAATGATGGAAATTTCAGTTTCTTTAATCTTGTTTCAAGCAGATTACTTATTATTCCCATTTATATCAAGGGATTTCTGACAAAGCAAACAAAACAACATGTCATGCAAAATGGACAATGAGGTTGCATAACAAAAAAGGTTGTTTTATGTTAATTCCCCCGAACTAAGAAAAATTTTTCAACAACCAAAGTTTTCATTGAAAGTCATCTCTTTTTAAACAGCTATACATACCATACCATAACAAAATATAACATAACACATACTCTGAATGCATGTTGAAACATTGCAACGCCACAGTTGATTGGCAACAAAATAGATAACCCCACCTCCCTCCTATATATGCAATAGATAAACCAAGAATGACAGTGTTATTCTATTTCACTATATTATGACAGTATTATTATAAAAAAGACAAGTTAAGTATATATAAGACATTAATTACCTATTCTTGTGTAAATCAAAATAATAAAGGTTTCCAAGATGATCAGCAGCTACAAATCTTTCTCCTGTTTTGTCAAATGCAGCATGAAGGATTCTAATAGCTCTGCCATGCTTAAACACAACATTTGGCAAGGAATTGGTTATGTTTATTAAGCAACTGAAAATAAAAAATGATGATTTATTGAACAAAAAGTTTAGATCCAATAAATCTTAGGAAGATTTGATGATAAATTGATTATCAAAGTATTTATTTTGCTTAAAGGGCTGAATAGTGTCTGGCTTCTAGGAACTTTCTCATCTGAAGGCAGCTACCATTTTCACCCAATAAGTCCTTTGTCTCTGTAAGTCTAACTCACATTGTTGATCTGTGTGGTTCAGTACCAACATTCTATTGAAAAAAAATCATGACTCCTAAAACTAAATTATCCTATCTTATCCCTTATATCTGTAGCAAGTGCTAATGCAGCAAATTCAATTTCAAATCTAGCTAGTTCAATCACATCAATTACGTTACTTAGGACTGTGGTACATACAACAAAAAAGGGCACTAGATATATAACAAGACATATAAATATATTTACTTTAACAACTATACTAAGTACTGAGTAGAATATTATACTTAAACAAGATTTAATACTAGCAGACTTCACTCATTCAAACCCCCTCTTTAGTATGGTTAAGAAAGCTTGTATCACTTATTTCTAGACGATAAGAAGCTGTGGCCAAACAAGGATCGCATCGTCTTTCATTTGCACCCATTGGCCTAAATTACTTGTTCCTTTAGAAAACAAACAAAAAAGGTACTGCCTAAATAGCTCACCCGGTATCTGGCTCTGGTATAAGCTTTCGATGCCATATTCTACCTGAAGTCTTTCTACATAAATCTAATCGCTGCATTGCACCTTCTTTAAACCACTTCAAATTATTTGCCTTCGTTTCTGTTTTTCGCGGTAATGTTTGTAAGTGCTCCTCCACATCAGTTGACAAACGGAAAAGTTGCTTCGATTCGACGTCACTACCACAGGATACCACAGGAGGATAACATCGTTTCTCATTCTTTACTTTAAAATTTTTGAGTTAATCTCCCTTCGCTCAAGGTTAACACTGATGGTAGAAAACGACAAACTAAAGAGAGGCGTCGTGGGTCGTGACTCTTAAGGAGGAGGGGAACAGCTTGCAAATTTTCCGACAACGGGTATAAATTAAAATTATGACGTCATCAAGCATATGCGCTGTTTTTATGCAAAGAGGCATTGCAAACAATATGTGTCTTTCGCACCTTTACTTTTACTGATTTCATTAAGTCGGTCAGAGAACAGCCAGCATCTGTATTCGAATATTGGGTAATCATAATCATCAGAAATTAGTATCTGTGCTGAACAGTCAAACTCGCAATAGGATTGACAATTAATATTTTCAAGATTATGAAGAAACGAACTGGACGATTTTCAGTGCGTGACAAGTCTCTTTAGCAATGGTGTGTCAGCAAACTTTCCAATAACTTCATCAGAACTGAGTGTCAAATAAGTCAAGATCAACATTTATTTAACCTTTCTTGGCCTTCGAAAAAGTGCACTGGCATTTAGTAATACCAGTTGACAAGCTTGTCATCACTGTACAAAGGTACAAATTTGGATAGAGAGGGTGTGAAATAAATAACCAAGAGTTTTACTGTCTTCAGAAAACGTTTTCTGTTTACATCTTCCTTCTTATACTGATTTCCTTTAGACTTTCTTGCTTTTCTATGAACTGCAAATATCATTTTGCCGAACAGATACGAAATTTCCGACAAATTGCCGAATGGTCGATGATAGGGGGCACGTGCCCCCTGCCCCTCAGCCATGATGTCCCTGAAACTAAAATACAATAAAATGAATACATCAACTATAATAATGAAATTTTTTGCAGAGGCATTATCCGCCCTTGAATGGCTTTTGGGATTCATTTGTATTCGGATTAAGGACAGGATATTTCAAAGCGCACTTGTTTGACACGTCTATATGCCTTGTCTACGTATGCAGTTAAGCTATATATTTACCTTTTATATGAAGCTTTGGATCGTACGTGTACCCACGTTCTTTTCTTTTTACCGCATTTTGGTACAGAAAGCTTCTAAACAGGTTACTAAACACGAAGACTAAATTTTATCTAATTTACCATCTCCAGTCTCTATATAAAGCTTCATTTAGCATTTTTTGAGCCAGCATGTAATGATTAGCACAGTCAACTATATTTCTGAAATAACAGACTGAACTGTAAAAAGAATGTTTACCATTTCATCTGCGAAAATATACCCATAATTGGTAAAGTAGAATATTCTCTATTTCCGAAAAGAAATTAAAGAATGCTTAACAGTACATGAATACGGAGCACAATACCAAAAGTTTCTTAACTTTTCATCAAGACAAAACATTGTACAAAAGTTTCTAAACTTTTGTAGAAACAAGACCGGGGATGTTATAGAGGGCTGCTAATTTTTCGAGAGATGATGTAGTTTAGCATTCCATAGGCTTGGGCTTCTAACCTTCATGATCTTGGTAAGGCCATGAGAATTTCTTTTTCATATTTGATCTTGAAATTTGAGCATTTGTTCATATATACAAACACCTTCAAATTTAGAAATATAGTTGGCAAATATATTGGGTATCAGAATGAAATGAATTACTTTGAAAGTTGAAAACACAAATATTAAATACATACGCAATCAAAATAATAATAATAATAATAATAATAATACAAATATTTACAGAGGATGGCCTCAGTCACTCGAGGGTGCTTTTCATGAGGGTCCTCTATTTAACTAATTATATCGATTTACTAAAACATTAAAAAATTAAAAAAGTTCATCATAGTGGATAAAATCAGTTCACATTGTCCAAAACCTTTGTTTGAATATATTAAAAGTTCCTGCCAACTTAATGTTTGTGTCCAGTTTATTCCAGTCATCAACAAACAGATAGGATGACACTTGCTTCCCCCAATTTGTCCTTACTTTAGATAGATGGTATTGCTCTTTGTTCCTTGTCTGGATGTTATGCAAATCGTGTCCTGTTTTATTGCTGAAAGTGTAACTTATATCGTTTTTTTTCGACTTGCAAATGGTGGCACATCGATGGAACTTTCGTCTGATATCTAGAGATTTCCAGTGCAGTAAATTTAAGGCCTTCGTGCTTGAGTCATTTGGTTTCATGTTCAATACCAGTTTGGCGCATTTGTTATGAAGAACTTGCAGAGTCTTCATCGAACATTGGTTATTTCTATCCCCCCAAACAGTATCTCCATAATCAAACAATGGTATTATGATAATATTTACCAAAGCTAAACGTTGTGCTCTGGGGATTAGATGACTAATTCTTTTTAACAAACCTATTCTTTTCTCTACATTTTGCTGCAATGAAGCAATGTGATCCCCCCATGTCATATTTTCATTTATTATTATACCAAGATATTTATAACTTGTTTCTCGACTTAGTTCGTCCTCTTTGATTTTCAATGTCAGATCTTTGAAACGCTTTAACTGCTGCTTTCCTCCAGCCACAACAAACTTTGATTTAGTGATGTTTAACGTCAGTCGATGGTCGTTTAGCCATTCTTTCACTAGAGCCAAATCCTCATTCATCTTATTTTGGATTTCATTACAGTTTTTCCCCGAGCAATAGATTACTTAGTCATCTACAAACAAGATTGTGTTCGAGTATTTTAATGATAACGGCAAGTCGTTGATAAAAACAAAAAAAAGTAAGGGACCTAAAACTGATCCTTGAGGTACTCCAATCGTTACGTTTCGTTTCAGTGAGAGAGCGTTCCCAGCCGACGTTTGCTGTGATCTCTGACTAAGATCAGAGCGAAACCATTTCAGACAAGCTGTAGAAACACCATATTCTGTCAATTTCAAAAGCAACAAAGAATGATCGACTGTGTCAAAGGCTTTTTTCAAATCTAAGTACACAACACCAGATACATGACCTTTGTCCATGCTTTCAAGGAGGCTGTCCGTAAATTGTAAAAGAGCAGAGCTTGTAGACATTTTGTTTCTAAATCCGAACTGATCTTGACTCCAACGTGAACTGAGTCTATCGTTTTATATACGGTACATCGTCTGATGTCACATTGAGGATTGATACTTGAGGTATCACGTGTATAAACTGGCCAATTGTTAATTGACAGGTGGCTCCCACTAAAGTATTTCATGATTACCCTTCAAGCATTTGCGGACGCATTATGACTGTCTTGGCATTTTTCAAATATATGATTTTTATTGGTTATTAACTGTAAGTTACAAGACATTCAAATGGTCGTCATGTAAACTCAGATTTATGAGAAAAACAATAAACATATTTTAAAAATATCGTTTATCATTAATATAACGTCAACATGCCTAAAAGGTGTGTCAGCAAAGAAAAACACATAGAATTATCAGGTGCTTTATTAAGTGCTTTGAAACAAATATCAAACTTCTTTACATCTCTCTATCTTAAATTCACACAGGAATAATATTTTACAACTATGTCAGTATAGTACAATTGTTTCTGGTGTGCAGCTTAAAACTTAATATCTACAGCTGGTGATGACAATTCATCAAAGTCAAATGGTGCATCATTCTTATTCCGACATTACTTGGTTTCTTCTCAAACTAAAATTTGTCATGAACTTTCCAGTAAATTGGCAGTATTCACTTTTACCTGCAAAATACAGCCCTTCAGAATCTGAGTAAATAAGAGAAGTATTTTTCAAAACACAATATAAACAGCATAAATAAATGTTGATTGCACCAAAATAGAATAGGCCTTAAGTTGTTGAAGTTAAAAGACAAAATCAAATACATAATGCTCTTGGTTTATACAACTGAAAAGTGAATGGTTCTAAGTTACAACCCTGTAGTTTTATGCAAATATCAGGCCATGGTACATATTTTTTTAAATCTAATTTATCGTTCATTACAAGAAATTCCTAGATAGCTCAAGTGGAATGATATGTAATCAGAAATACTTTCAATTTTCTAATTCACCACAAATAGACAATGTAGTTAAAATACTGTCTCAAATAGCATTGGTACTAAAATTAAGCAAGATGGATTCAGAATTCCTCCTTGTGGCACAACATTACAAGCTAACTTTGGATCAGGGAGTCTGTTTTTCTCCATTGGCAAATCATATTCTTCTGAGCAATATTGACAAGTTGTTGTAGCAGTAATTCTATTAACTTTATTGTTATTTGTATGTTGTAATGTATATTTATGTTGTAAAACCTCGAATAATTATCACTACTAGGACAAATATTACAAAAAGGTATCAACTAAGGAATTAAAATTCTTTTATTACTTTTCATGATTCTTACCACATCTTGACCAGGGTTTTCTTGTCAATATTTATGAGGAAACAAATCCTTCAATGCATTGTCTGCTTCATCCACCCCTTGTTCTTGAGCTTGCTTTAGTAGTGGTTCTATTTCACTGAGGATATGATAACACAAAATAATTAGAGTTATATCAACAATACATAATACATGTTTTAGAAAAATGAAAAAACTGTATACATAAGAATAGAAAAGAGCATGCAAACCACACTTAGATATCTTAGAGCAAACTGATGGATTAAAGAAAATGTTCTGAGAAAATGTTGACATTATTCTGTACCATCTCTGGCTGTTCAGTAAAATGACAATATTATTCTTAGAAAATTTGCCAGTATTCCACTTACTGTTCCTGTACATCTGTATTATATCCCTGGAGGTGACCTGCCACTAAATTGTATGCCCCATGTCCATGGCCATTTTTGGCTGATTCTCTAAATAAACAAAGTACATTTTGAATTGTATGAGTTGTGAATTGGAATGATGCCTGATGATCGCATTAAGTATTAAACTCTGAGTTGCAACACTTATTAAGATAACAGTGTAAAGAAAACAAAACTTGTATCCTAACATAACACGAAGGAGTAATTGAGAACAATATAAATTCTAAAAGTAGATATATCACTGTGCAAGCAAGAGGGTCACAAGACCGGAACTACACAATAGGAATAATGTAACAAAACAATGGTAAACAGCATGATTAGCAATTAGTATATAGTGGTGATCATAATAGATAATAATGGGTTTTTAACATAATTGTCCTGTTCTATACACTAAAAGCATGGGCAGCTCTGCTCAAATGACATCAAGCACTGACCGGTCAACAAAAATTCTCATGACTTATGAATTTTATTAGCTATGAATTAATTCAATCTTCTAATGGAGGCAATATTTAAATCTATGACAGCTAACACCAACAGATAACAATAAAATAAAAATTGAGAAAATAACCCCTATGTTTCCTAATGCTAACAACACTATTCTTACTAGAAAACCAGGATTTCAAAAACCTCAACATCAATATTAATGGATGAAAAATATCACAATAACTGTTATTAGTGTTATATGTTTGTGAATGTAATAGGATCATCCTGGCAGGTTTTGAATTTCTAAAAAGTACCAAATCCTGCAAAGACTTGAAATCTTCAACATAAAAAGTAATATCTTACCTAAACCAATACATGGCAAGGTCTTCATCCCTGTCTGTTCCTTTTCCTTATAATAGAATAAATAGACTGAATAAAACATAATTGCATGGTCTCTGCCATGCTACTTTAAATACTTGCACTGTGATTTGCAATCTTTCAGAAGCCTGTAGTATATGAAATCATGTCAAGGAAAGTATTAGCTATTTGATAGCCCTCTGTAAAATGAAATTATTGCTTTTTCAAGGAAAACATATATGTCAAATTGCAAATTGTTCACACATCCTCTTATAAAGAAATCACATTCTGTATATGCCATGCCAAGTTAATAATTGTTTGAATGCAGTAAAAATTATTGCTGGAGATTCATTGTCCTATTCAAAGCTTCTCTTGTCCTGATGTTTTAATTACTTTTTCTTTAAGCCATAAACAGGGGAGTCTCTAGCTTGATTGGGAGTTTTGAAAGTAGCTATGCAACATCATAAACTGTGCTAGCAGCAGGCTTGTTACGTCACTTAAAGTCATTTTAATAAGCATGTAGTACTTTGGATCCTTGATAACTTCAGATATGGATAAACTCCTCTTACCATGAAGGTATTTGTGTCCTAAGTGGTGCTGGGCATGTGAACTGCCAAGATTTGCATATGCTTTAGTAACATGGAAATGAAGGTGTTCAACATAGAAGTACATGTAAACAAAAAACAGGAGGACACCAATTACAATGGCAGCCTAGAAAAAGAAAATAAAGTGTCATCAATGGAATATTCATTGGCAACTTCCTTTCTTAGATCAAGAAAAAGCACGCCTCCGCAGAAATTCATGACAATAGATGGAGTGAAACGATACCTAAATTGGGATTCTTATAAATAATACAGTATTTGTTTGAAAATGCTTTTCTGTTTCAAGTTTTTCTATGCGTTAAATAAAGATCTTTGGAAGTTTGTATTTCATTTGCTTATTTTTGAAAAAACTCGATACTGGTTTATAGGTTATTTTGCCAAAGGTTGATTAGGTTTGCGTGATGATGCAATAGAGGTTTCTGGCATAAATATGAACCAATAATTTGTCTAGATACTGGACTAGATACTAGCAAAGAAAGCGATGAAAAAGTATCGGCCGAACAAAATAAGTCTTTCGAGTAAACATTGAACAATTCGAGAACAAATTCGACAGGTTATTTGGTCTGCATTATTCCAGTGTCGGCACTTGACGACAGATTTGGCCTGGCCTAAATAAATAAAACTCACCTCAACATATTTCACCCACCAAGCATCTGGTTTCTTCTTTCGTGCGAGATACACGTTTGGCCCATATGGTAGGTCAGGGTCGTACTCTGGGCCACCCTTAGCCCATGGTGGTTTATATTTTTCTTGTTGTCTTTTTCTGAGGCCTTCTTTTGCATCAGCCATCTTTGTAGTACTCGCAGAAAGTTTTGCCGCGAAACTTTTTAATAATTTATAAGCTTCTGTATTGGGCAACAATCTGACCAATAGGAAAATGCAAAACACCGTCCTTGGCTAATATAAATGCCACAATAGCAGGTGGCCATCCCGCAAACACATCACTTTTGAAAACGTAAGCGATTTCAAACAGGGGTGTATACGTAGTATTCAGGGACGCCGGAGAGGGGGTGAGGGGGGCAACCGCACAGGAGGGGGCCAAAGTGACCTTCTCCTAGAAAGTGCCTTTGCCATCGGCCTTTTGTGATCACAAAAGTTATTCATATGAAGTCCTGACTGTAGTGGCTTATTCATGGAAAAGTTTCTCAAAACTTTTGGAAAACATCTCTTATAACAGCATATATCCCAGCGTAAAGCCCATTTACAAAGTGCCTACTCAACATCGAACAATTGCAAAATAATCAGGGGAAGCTGGGTATTTTTTCAAATGTCCTTTTACTGAAGCCTACCCCTTGCCCATTTGTCGTTCCAGCTTCCTATGAAAGTCCTTGGCGGGAACGAAGATTACTTCTATTCAAACAGATAATTCCTTTTTCTTTATAAAATTTCTTCCGGGCTCCAAAACTAACAAAACGTGTGAAGATCTCGCATTCCCAACAATTTTGCTAATACCTGTGGTGTTTCCATAAAAATCTACCTTTCCGAGTAAAACATTATCACTTTGCAACATACTGAATTAGCTTGGACACAGGAAAGAAACATTCACAAATTATTTACTTTTCAAGTTTTTAAATTTTGTTATACATGTACATGTTTCCTGAAAGAGGAATTTCACCTGCACTATACAACAAAAAATAGCTGCAATGTTTATTTTACGATTTGGCATTTATCATTTGATACAAGTGATCAATAATTCTTAACAGTTTCGATTTACAAAATGTGGATAACTTATGACAAATGAAACTTTACTCAGTGACGAAAAGGTAAGGCCTGCTTTCAAGATTTTCCTTATATGAGTTTTATTAAGCTTTGGTTGTATGATAAACTGATGAAACTTCATTTATGTATTCAGAAGGTACACTTATTACTCGTGTCTTTGTGCATTTGTGCATAAACGAAAATTTAAAGCAAAAAATTCTGCAAATATTATACCGATATTTTCTCAAACTGAAAAAACATCGAAGAGCTTCAGCCATCCTGAAAGGCACTGAAAATATCGACAAATAATTTTTCATAGCTTCTAAATGTATGTTAAATATATTTTTCTGTCATTTCTAATTACTACAAACCCAGAATTTGGCCTTGTTACCTCGACCCGAAAAATCTAGCACCTGGCCAAAAATGGTGACTAAAATCATTTGTATTTGGCTGACTGCCTGTGTTTTTATCACGACATTATTCTTGAGATAAAAAGGAATTAGAACACAGGTTTTGCCTGTCAGCAAGAATTTCAAACCCTGTGCAATAATTACGGGTGTCAAATGCTTTTCGCCGGATGCAATCCTTTGAAATGACATGTTTAATAAATGTTTTATGAATCATATTAAATCGTTTATCATTCGATTTTGGCTCGTTTGCGTGCGATAGCATCTTCTATTGCTTTAAGTTCTTTCAACAATTCATCTTTCCTTGCCGATGTCTTACTTAGTGCAGCTTTTGGAGAAGAAGTTGAGCTTTCTTGTTCGGACGCAGGTCTTTTCTGTCCGGCCTGCGGACGCTGATCCGTCGTTTCTCTGCTTGTTGAACTTGTTCTAGACTTGCTGCTTTTTTGTGAACTTGATAAACTTTTCGTCTAAACAGGATCAGAGGTAAATAGTTAAAAGTAAAGTTTACTAAACCTGCTAATATGTCTGAAAGATTTGCTTTAGCGATATCGCAAAACACTAAAACAGCCACTGAAAATACTGCGTATAACTTGATAGATGGATCAATTCTTTGATTAAATATAATTCATAGCGAATTTCAGTGCAAAGCTAAACTTTCAAACAGGGGCGTAGTTAGTGGAGGGGGTGGAGGGGGTGTAGGGGGTGTAGGGGGTGTGACACCCTCAATTTTTCATGAGTTTGTCGGTTAACCATCTGTTAGTGCAAAAAAATTTCTGGTTTGTCGGTAAAGTCGTATATCAGAAGCTGAAATTGAACAAAAATTTCTCTTCATTTTTATGTTTCGCCGGTAAATTTTACTACACATCACCCTCCACCCCCTAGTTTCGAAGTTCAAGCTACGCCGCTGCTTTCAAAACACATATCACAGTACTTTGAGAGAAAACATATACTGAGCCAGTAGCCTGTTTGGGGTTTGTGACAGCTTTTGGTTCCCATTTTACGCTTGAAAGTTGCACATCCCATGCAACCGAGTTTAGTTGGATTTTAACTAACCAATACTTTTATACTGTGGCTTAAGTAGGTTCCCACTCGCAACCTACCTGATTCAAGACCATCTCAAAGTCTTTCTTTTTCCTCTCGATCTCCTTTTTTCGTGACGTAGATGCATCCGAGTCAGAAGAATCGGAATTATCTCCACTTCCACTTCCTTCTTCTCCTGATTCACTTCCGGATTTTTCGCTCGGAGTTCCACTAGCGCTTCCGCTGTCACTGTCCGAAGCAGCCTCGCTCCCACTTTCAGATTCACTTCCGCTTTCCGATCCCGATTCGCTTTCGGATCCTGAGCCTGCACCGTACTTAGGCGAGCGGAACTCGTCCTCGCTTGCCTCACTGTTGTTTTTAGTTGTCTTTTCATCTTTGGTGTCAGCGGTAGCATCTGCTCGTGGAACTGGTTGCTTTACACTGTAGTAATTGAAAAACACATCTAAATACTTAGGTTTATCAAAGGTCAAACGATACATGAACACAACAACAGCATCACTAACAACCAAAAATTCTGCAATCGATACTACTTTACAACTTTAGATTAAACAGTTCTGTGCAGATCAACTGAATGAAAACCTCACCTTTCAAGAGGTGTTTTCTTGTCAGCAGGATTCTCCTCTTTCGTGCGGCGCTCCTCGTCACGTTTTCGCTGTCTGTTTGTGTCTGCCAGCCGAGGATCCTGGTAACGAAACACATACAAAGATAAAGGACTTATATTCATTCAATAGGAAGATTCTTGAGAAGATAGTTCCTCAAATACAGACTGTCAGACTTTCTATTTGATCGTTCTTTACTCTTTCCACTGGTCTTCACCCCGCCCCTATTCAGAGTTCCTTTCTAATTCTTAAGCCCTGGCAAAACGACTAAACATTTCACTCAACTTTTGTTTAGTGAAGTTGAGCGAAGTTTAGCGAGGGTGGCAAAACGTGACTAAACTTTTCACTAAACTTCACTCAACTTTTTTGAACAGCGAGCTAGCTACGACGCTGTTGGGTTGTAGGGGATCTTGCATAGGAATTGGCTTTTGGTTTATTTTGTTGCATGCACAAGCAGTAGATAAAAACAAAAATTGGATGAAGCGACGGGGACTTTTTAGCACATTGACAACAAAGTTGACTGTTGAAGAAGACACAGTTGCGTACAACGAGATATTCAGATATCTCATAAAGGCTTTTTGGGTCACGTAGAGACAGGAAAACCAACGAAAACCGACGAAAACCTTTGGATTTCCACAGCTAGAGCGCTTGCGCGATCACAACAAATGTTTAATTGGTGGCGAAACGACTAAACATTTGCTAAACAGTACTAAACAAACGACTAAACATTTGCTAAACAACGCTAAACATTTTTGACCAGGATTAAACATTGCTCGACAACACTCAGCACTACTAAACAACACTAACCAGGGTGGCAAAACGACTAAACTTTTCATTAATTCAATAATTCTACAGTGCAATCGAAAATGTTTTTTTGCATTAGTTCATGAATTTAAAAAAATAGGAACTGTGAATAGGGGCGGGGTAAAGTCTAGTGGAAAGAGTATCTTAAAAAAATCAGTAAAAAGGTTTCTAACCCTTTGCTTCGGACTCTGTGTTCGGTATCCGTCCGCCCTCCGTCTGTCAGTTTCCTCTTTCGGGCCTTCACGTGGATCCCGCCTTCGAGAATGGGACGAGTCACGTGGTGATCTGGAAGGTTGTGGTCTATCGCCGCGATATTTGTCTGATTTTAACCTGTAAAAATATGTTCAGGAAAAGAAATCGCATACGATTTTGAAAAGAATATCAACGCTAGATCATGAAGAACTCTCCTTTATGGGTCATGAAGAAATCTACTTTTAAATCAAATACCTGTTGCATTTTATGGTCTTGAAAGACATAGGCGCTCTAAACCAAACGTAATGCAAGGTTTTAGCTTTCATTCAATCATTAATATTGTGTAGTACTTTCATTATCAAAGGATTGATTCAAAGTACGTTACTGAGATGAATTGGCAAACACACCTTGGGCCTTCATCAGGTCTACGGGGCCTGTCATCCCCCCGGTATCCATTTCCAGGGTGCTGACCGAAGCCAATTCGTGGCCAGCTTCCTTCCATCGATGACTGAGCTTGCCAAGCATGTGGAGGTACAGCAGATGGGGGATACCTGGAAACAGAATAAGAAGCATTTTAATTGACAAAAGCAAACTATAACCACAAATGCGGTACTAATATACAGATTGATATTTCAAATGTTCGATTTCAAAACACTTATCATGTCTTATTGAATATATCATGTTATATGGACCTAATCTCAGCAATTCATTACTGTTGGCGAAACAAACATGGAGCGGAGATAGGTCCGACCAGAGTTACTCGCCGTTATTAAGAGATGTACCTATATTATTTTTGCGTCGCTGTATTATAACGATATAATTTGCACCTGTCTCTGCGATCTCTATCTCTTCGATCATCTTCGGGTCCTCTTCTATGTAGCCTATGTGAGTCTCCATGCCTTTTTCTGATCGGATCTCGATATTCCCTGCCAGACCGAGAGGGTTTGCTTGATGACCTACTCCTGTCATTAGACGAAACAGAGTCTGACTTTGCTGTAATGCTACTAGTTGGAGCAGCTGCAGCTATGCGAGGATCTTTTGGTCCTGTTACAGCTGCATCTTCTTTTGGCTCTTGCCCTGCAGTGGGCTTGGATTCAGCCACCTGCGGATCAAGGGAAAGAAAAAAGGTTTAAAGCGAGTTAGTCAAGGAGATAGAAACATGTTAAAGAGCATGCTCATTGAACTGAATCATTATTTCACATGCTCTTTTAACATAAGAAAGGCAATGCTTCTCCCATTAGAAAATTTTGTTGGTCTCTCCAAAAGATACCCTCAACTTTATCACAGGTACTTACAACGAAAGTATGTGGAGGCATGTTGAGGTACCATGCCACTGTGGAGGTTTCCAGGTATCCCCCATCTGCTGTACCTCCACATGCTTCTCCCATTAGAAAATTTTGTTGGTCTCTCCAAAAGATACCCTCAACTTTACCACAGGTACTTACAACGAAAGTGGCACTTGTTTAAATCGTGTTACGAGATAAACCTGTCTTTTTCACTTTTAAGATAAAACCTCTCATTCCTGCCAATGTAAGTTTCTGTCTCTACTACGAAACCATAGCAACCACGACCTCTCAGATGCAGAAGCTGGAATTCTCATTTTAAAAATAGTCTTCCATTGCGATAATTTCTGATCTATATGCAATCATGTGAGCCATTTCTTGCGAATTTGTCTCACAGGGTATCTTATTTCTTGCGAAACTGCAACTGGACATCCATAGCCTACAATATTCATGTATTGAAAGACAAGAGCATCAGCAGGCTGCTTTACGGAGTAATTAAACGTTCTGTTCAAAACACAACTCTAGGTTCAGTTCCATCTAAAAAGATGATCTACAACTGGTTACAACTTTATCTTACACAGTGAAAATCAACGGTTACCTCTTTCACTGCATCATTTCCTTCTCCAGCATTGGACGATTCTCCTGAATCTGAATCTGAATCGGAGCCAGATTCATCAGATTCTTCACTGTCTGAATCTACAAAAAAGTCACCGTTTTAAAAACGTGATGCAGATGGCAATTGTCTAAATGTCTCTCTGTATTTTTTGACCTTCACATTCACGACCAAATACAACATATAAAATATTTGCGATAATAAAACAATACCTTAAAAACATTTAAAATCACTTTCACAGAATAAGCTGGAAAGAAAAGCCAAAACCTTGAGGAGAAACCTGCTGAAAGCTGAGGAGAAACTATTAGCATAGCACCTTAGTTAACGATTCGCATATTATATTAGTGCGACATTTTAAAAATATCTTATAAAGTTCTATTTCTTAAAGGCATTGAGTCACGATAAATAGACTGGGTATACCCTAAGTGCCAAAATCCGCTGAGTCATGATTTCCATGACTGCGATGCTATTGGTTGACCTTGAACTGGTCACATGAACTCACCTCGTACTGATTGACAAAAAAATTTCCATCAATAGCAAGTTGTCAACAACGGATGCCAATATCACATGAAACAGCAGCGATCACGCCGAAACCAAATGACCCCCTATAGAGAAAGCCTATTTACCATGACTCAATGCCTTGAAGAAATCATGGCTCGTTTCTAATTCTAAAATATCCAGCTTAAAGCGCTTATCAGCTGGGTTAAAAAGGTTTTCATATGTCAAACTCCATTCGTCTTCTACCATGATAAAGAAAAAACAAGACCAGTTCCAATAGCAAAATTTCTACATGGATAGTTGGTAGATTTACCCTCTCCTGATTCGGAGCTTCCGATTGAACTCAAATCATCACCCTTTGTAACAGGAGATCGGATTTCCGGCGATCGATTCTGTGCCGGTTGCCTTCTCATCCACGGATCCACCCATTGTTCAGCGTCCATCTTTGGGGAAACAGCCACTTCAACATTCTGTCCCGTTTCTTCAATAGGTCCCTTTTTAGGTTCCTCTTTGATTTGCTCTGTTTTGACTTTTGCCTGTTCCTTCGGCAGTTCCTCCTGGGAGCCCTTTGGAATCTTCTCTCTGACATCGCTTCGCTTTTCCCGTCTTAAATCTGGCTTGTCACGTTCTCTTTCTCTGCCTCTCCTATTCAAAAAAGAAAATCTTATATCAATCAAAGGAATAAAGTTCATGTTGACTATAAGGAAAGCTAAGCTTATCACCCATTAACCGAGTAATTTAATCACAACCAATTCATAATCATAAATAATTCTAAAAACAATCTGAAAAAGTGCAAAGATATAATACTGAAGTAAATTTCGTCTTCAGAGTATAACATCGGGTAGTTAACGAAAAAGTAAGCTAAAACTAATATCCAGATGTGGGAAGAAAAAATCGCGAGGGGAGGAGTGGTGCATGTGTTCTTGTCATTGAACAATGAGAAACCGGTTGCCCCCAGCCTTATTGAAAATTCTAAGGATCTAAACGTTCAGGGATTGTGGTGTTGATGTAGATAGATTCCAAAATACCTATTGTAAAATGAAGTTAAATGATATCGTGGCCATGACAGTAGGAAATAACGAGTAAAAATTCTTTTAATCTCAAATGCTTACCGTTCATGGGAGGGAGGCGTTCTTTCTCTTCGCATCCTTAAATACCGTTCACGATCCATATCGCGAAATTTGTCTCTGTCTTTTTCATATGATCTACTTCCCCTTTCTCTATCCCCGTCCTAAATAGAACAATGAGAAACCCGTAACAAAAGAGGCCACGAAAGTGGGACCTCAAAGTGGGTTGATATAAAGTACAAAAATTCTAGTAATCAGTAAGTAACAATACAACTTATTGACAAGATTGGGGAACAGAGCCCCCTTGACCTCATTCACTACTGCCCCTGACCTCAAATCTTGGATTGCGAATTCAGTTTACAATCTCAAATCATTAATGTCAACAATTGATTTTGTCTCAGAAACAAAATAAGAAAATGCTTCTACGCAAATATCTCAACACCCTTCATAGCTGTTTATACTGAAACACAATGTCTCTACTTACATAACGCCTAGGCGGCGTCTTTCTGTTTCTACTAAAACGTCTTTCATTTATATCCGGCCTCAGATCCACTGGTCTTGGCCTCGCACCCGCCTGACCATCTCTCTCCGTGGCATGTCTCCATGGTTCCCGTCTGGCAGCAACCGGCCTTTCGCTTTCTGTATCATTCTCCTTTATGCTCAGATTTATACGCTTCTCTTCAAAGTTTTCGTCCTCTTCCTTTCTTTTAATCGAAGTTAACTTTATCTAATGAAACGATCAATTTTGTCATAAACTAACCCTCTTCTACAAGATTTATTCAAGCACTAGCTGGATTCTACGTAATCATTTATTAGACAATATGTCTTATGACAACACAATGAATACCATGCCTGTGTTCAGTTGTATGGGTAAATTTGCATGGGTGTGTAAACAGGCAATGTCGCTCCACTTGCACACATGTTTTACTTTCCATCTATCAATTACTGTTTCTATATAGCATCTGAAAAAAGTTTAAGACCACTAAGAAGCTGTAGTTCTTGAGATATGGGTATTTAGAAGCTAAGTAAATCACAAAGTCCTTTTCACTGGGCCGTCTTGATGCCTAATGCTCTATGTGTCCAATTAATTAAAAAAAATCAAAGGCCATATATCCCAGTGTTCTACATATAATTTATCTATTCAATTTGAATTGGCATTGAGCTGTTTCCGAGGACAAAACTGTATGTAATGATAAAATATGGGAATTCTGTCATGATTGGTTGCCTATATGTGTTGGTAATATGTGTGTAGGGAAGCCAGTTTTTCATTCTCTTTCCCTTAACGTTGATCGTTTCATATACGATGATTTTATAAAATGCTAGAAAAGGCAGGTTCTCATTTGCTAATAAATTATAGGTTACCTTGTGGAAAAAGAAAATATTGTAAGTTTTTATAAAGATACAGCAAAATTAGAAACAGGGAAATGGAACAAAATTCAAACATAATGATAAACTAGTAAATATAACCAAAGTAAACGAGAATGTTTACAAAAACAAGACAGAAAAAGCAAAATATTTCGATGATATTAGCACATCAGGCTATGCAGATTTCCGTAGTAGAAATGGCAGATAATATGTTGTAATGAATGAGAAAGGAGTCCCCGACCAGAGCACCTAGAAGAAATGGACTTGCCTCCTTTGCTTTCTTCAATCCTCGTTCCCAAGCAGTTTCTTTTCTTGGCTGTGATGGTAGCAAGATCTCCAATTCAACAGGAATATGCTTCAAGAAAAAAATATCGTCATATTTTTCATAAACATCATAGCCTCTTTAAAAAAGGTTACAGATTGAAAGGGTCATAACAAATTGCAAAGCAAAATATGTAAAAAGTCTGAAAACGGTTACAAAAATATCTACAGCAGCAATTTTACGTGGTAAAAAGAATTGGCTGGTAAAAGGGCCTCCAATGAAGGGGGGGGGTTGCTGGGCCATGGCCCCCGCTTTTATGCGAAACACTAGAGATTTTATTGAAAATATTTTGTTATGGGTGTTAAATTTTCCCTTGCCCCCCCCCCCCCCCCCCCCGTTTTTCAACCTGGGTCGGAGCCCATGGGAAAAGTCTTTAAATAATAACATAGGTTTGTGATCAAAGGGGTTGAAAAGATGGTCAAGAGAATTGTGTTAAAAGTGGTCAAATGTGGTCAAAAAAAACGATTCGCAAGCAGAGTCCCAGGGTTGAAAACGAACTCTTTCTGTCCAAACTATAACGATTTGATTTTTCTACTTTGAAATTCAAACTTACTGCATTATCGCCGAATCCAGTTGGCTGCATAATAGGCATCGGAGGTCCTCGTGGTACCATGTTGTTCAGAGGTCCAAGCTCGCTGGGAGGAGGTGGCTTTCCGAAAGCAGTTGGGTACATTCCAACAGGACGATGCATTACATAATTACCTGAAAAGGTGAAATTGAAATGCTCAAATTTTCAGTCTTGGCATACTTACTTTTTGCTAATTCTGATCTAGACTGAAATATGACTAAGATGATTTTTGGGGAACAATTCATCTTTAACAGAAGGAAGCGTTAGGAAACAGGAGAGGAAACAAAAGGGAACAGAAGGATTAGAACGAAAATTCTAGTGTATTCTGAAACTAATGTATATTTGTACTAATGAGTGGAATAAAAAATTCTTCGAATGAAACAAAGAACATCTGTATGTGGCATTTATAGTGGAAACTTGATGCACGTGCATCCTTCGTTACGACTGGCACATTTCAATTGAATTTCTTATGTTAGGTTTTTTATTTCAGAGAAGGGATTAGATGTTTCAAACGTTAAACCAGCTTTACACCTTTTAAGATAAAATACAGAAAACAGCAAACCTTTGTCGTTGATTCCAGGATGCAAAAATCTACATGTTATTCCCCATCTGCAAGTACCTTGAAGAGATGAAAAGTTTATCAATGGCCGACAAAATAATAAACTACTATCAGCCCGCTTTCTGTCATCAACTCTTAATTATACCCAGTTACCCTATGAAACAAATGCATCGCTGAAAAGTAGAAAAATGTATATATTATGAAGGAAAATGCTCTCTTATAAATAAAATTCAATATAGCATCGTCAATGTCTGGTTCACGGTAGCTAAACCATATTTTTATATTGAAACTATGATCTAAAACTCTTGCGATTTGATTACTGTTAACAATGGCTCTTACTTTCACATAACACAAATCTGTGCAATAAATATCACAGTAACGAAAATGATGCAGAAACATTTTGGGGAGGTTAGTGTTGCTAAATAAAATACGTAGCAATCAGAAGTGGAGCTGAAGTATGATCACGAAACTTATGTAACATACCTGAAAACGTGTCTTATACTATGCAGTGTTAGTTCTGAAGTAGCGTGTATCGTTTTACACTGGTATTTTGTGTGAAGACTATACAACCCAGTAATTTTTGCATACAATAATTGCACTTTTTGCTAGGTTTGCAAGACTTTGCATCATTCAAGAGAGATAAGAAAATGTGCCAAAGGAAGATTGCATCATTACAATACATACTGGCTTACACAGTCATTGCAGAAGCTATAGGCATATGTCCTCTATTTAGGAATATTGTCACAAAGGCAAAGCATTCTTAGAATTTCTTTGGTTGCATCAAAAAAAGTTTATCAGTTCCTAGTTTCCTTCCTCTGAAAAAAGTGTAGTATTTAAACTACACATGAATTTTCAGACACACATAAATAAACATATCAGGGCTGATATTTGCAAATCTGTGCCAATAATATGTGTCAATATATACTCTTGCTGTTTGAAGCAATGAACATAAAGAGGGCATGCTAAATTTAGCACAAGTGGATATTTGTCTAACAACAGGATATAATCTGAACAATACATATCAACAGCGAGAAATTCAAATTGTTTACCTGCTTCATAGTACTTGCAAAGGACTCTTGGTCTGGGCCCTTAAACAAAAAAGGTACAACATAAGTGAGAGAAATAGTTTGATTGATGTGATGGCAGCCTGAGACTGGAGCCATTGCATAAGATTTTCATAGGCTTATGTCCAAAAAGAGATGGCAGGCAGTGAGTAATCAACGAGTGACTAAACCAAATGTCGTATAGCTTTAACATAAAGATCACCTCCATAAGCTACTGAAAATTTATTCGTCAAAATTTTTTTTGTGAAAAACTTTTTCTTTGTATCAAAGAAATTAACAGTGCCTTTCTTGTGACTCTTTTTTCGATAAATGCTTGAATGACATTGCAATATGAAAAAATCAAACTTGAAATAAAGAAAGACCAAATTACCTTTGTCAAGTTCTTCATCAAGCTGACCCTCTTCCAAGTCATCCTAAAAGAAATCTTTAAACTATAAACAATAACGAAAATTAATAAACAAACAGGAAATAAAACTGTACACTAATTTACACATATTCATGTTTATATTTACACAAAGCTGGATTATTTTTTGCTCCAGACGGTGACACAACATACAAACACATTCATATATGTAGCTTGTCTAAATTCGATCAGAAAAAGTTGGGTGAAGGATAATATTTTGGCAAAAAGTATCATTTGTGATGTGAGTCTATGATTCTGAAACCCCTAAAACAAAAGAAAAATTGACAAACCGGGTGTCCCTATTGAAAAAAGGGATCTTTTGTGACAATAGTATAGGCATGGCCTAAAATATTTTATTTTGCCCTGCCAGTTGTCACAGACAAACTTTTATCTACACTATTAAAAATTTGATTTTCATTTACATGCATAAGTAAATTGTTTTACTACAAGTGCCCTACATTGTTGATATTCTGATGACCTAATGTTTACTTCTGTCACAACAGGCACAATAGACCTTTTAACAAACACAAAGATATAACATAATAGTGTGGCTTGTTGTGGCTTGATTCAAACAACATATTAATAGCATTATACAGCAAATTAAGTTGCAAAATGGGAAAGGAAAAACAGCAAAAGGAGACAAAACATTGAAACAAAACCAAAAAGAGTGTTTGAGAAAAGACACAAAGATGGTTATGTCATCTAAAATACACTGCTTAGCTTCAGAATCATCATGGCTTCAGTAGTTGAAAGTCAAATTGCAGTTAATGTGAGAGACAGATTTGAAGAAAATTGACTTTTGTCTGAACTGGTAAAGGATTCAATTACAGGGGGTTAAAATCACATAGCAATAAATTTTCATTACATTAAAAATATTCCATCCTATTAGATCTTTAGATAGAAAGATGCTTTTTTACAATACCACCAGTTTTCAACAACACAAACAAGAGACTAGATCCTTACATCATTCACTTCCCCTTCTTCTTTGTCCTGTTTTGTGCTTATAACCTAGCAAAAATATGATAATATGACAACCTATTTTTATATACAAAAAGAAATGAATGGAACAAAAAAGAAGGCACAATATTAAAAAGAGCTAAAATATGTTTCCTTTGTTATATCACATAATTTCCTCAAACTCAGTTTTAGGCTTTCTTTTGTTCATTTGGCATTCAGGCTTTCTTTTGTTCACTTCTTAGATTTCTAATGTCACCAAAAAAATTTCAGAGTGGTGGAGATATAAAAGAAGTTATTCTTAGAATATTAAAGATGGAAAACATTAAATGAAAGAGCATACTTCAAAGACATGCTTAATCAGAAAAATGTGTTTCAAAACAACTGGAAAATGGCCACACAAGATTACCTTGTTACCGTCATCATCATCTGAGACAATCTCCCCTTCTTCAGAGCCTTCATCTTCCTTTTCAGCAATACCTTCCTTTTCTTCTACAACTTCTCCATCCTCAAGGCAAGACTGATCTTTATCATGGCGCATTTTTTGAACTTCTTCAGCTACCTCTTCCTCTGGTACTTCTTCTTCATAATCTAACTCTCCTTCTTCTGCATCTCCAATTACCATAGCTTTGCTTAGTTTCTCTGAAGAAACTGCATCTTCAGTATCTTCCTCTTTTGCCTTTTCTACTAACTTATGCTCTGGCTTTCTGTCCTCTGTACTTAGCTCAATTTTACTCTCAACATCAATTGAAATTCTGTCTTTTTGATCTACATTTTCTTGTTCAACTACTGTATTTTCAATAACTGATTCAGATGTTTTTTCAACACCATGGTCAAGTTCCACAGTTTGAATCTTTTCCTCTACATGAGCAATCGTGTCGTCTACACCTTGGTCTTTAATTTCATTTAAAGAAGCTGATTCCATTGCTATCTCCTTTCCCCTTCTTGTATGAGAAAAACAATTTCAATGAGAATCAGTGACATCATAGGCTACTTCTTTCCACCTACCCAGTTAACATTATTTAGGCCTTCACATGAGAATTTTATTAAGGGAAGAGTTAATGTCACACTTGAAATAAGGTTTTAGGTAAATCATTACAGTAGATAATTTTTTCAAGTCAAATAGCTAAATATCTACAGGAAGTTTGTTTAAAAACCAATTGAGTCAATTAGCAACACCTTGACCAAGCTCTGATTTCATTGACATTGATGTAAGGTATCAACATTTTTGTAAACTTGCCAATAAATGTTTGCATATTTTCAAGACTTATTGAGATGTCTTGAATCAATTTGACATTCAATTTTTATACTGTATAGGCAGAGCTGCAATGTTTAGTGCATAGAACAGGACACCTTTAAATTGCACCTCTGAAATTTATGCTTGATGGGGTGAGGCACCTGTTCTGATTGGCAACTGTTGTCCGTAATTGCATGAAGCATTGAACTCACGTAATTGCATGAGATGCCAGTATGTTGAGGTTTCATGTGTTGTAATAATATTTTTGCTTCAGCTTTGCCATTTTTAGACTAAAATTGCTAGCAGGCTGCCAAGCAAGTTACGTTAACAGCCTAGTTCCCATCAAGTTGCTTTAGTCCAGCTGTGGGGACAATCCAAAAACTCCTTTATCCTTTAGAGATTATTATTTTTTCAAAGGTTGTTCATGGGTTCAACATGATTTAAAACGGTCTATTCCTATCTCCTATCTAAATAAAAACATTCTATCTCTATTAATTTTTCAAATACTAGTGAGATATGATATTCTTATAGATATAAATATTTACCCCATTTTTAGAAATAATTCATTGTTCCTTTATACCAAACCAAAAAAAATTTTAGCCTCATGACCAGCTAAGCAGGTTGCTTGGTTCCTGGGCTGCCTTCAGCCTCAAAGCCAAACAACTTGGTTGCCTATACTAAAAACAATATGTAGCAAAACCTAAATGTTTAAAGATTTCCCTGAAAAATCTGGTATTTTGGATAAACAGGCTAAAAAATAGGTGGATGGGCATACCATCTTCCCTAAAGATGAAGTAATGGTACATGAAAATCTAGTAAAAATTCAATACTTTGTACAGTAAAAACAACAAGAAAATTAATGCAATACAATCTAAGAACATTTTTTCTGCCCACATACTATTTGTAAGCCCACAAGAACTTGCAAACCGTTATAAATGTATTGTCTGAAACAAAGAGATTGGCATACAAGAGCCATGGACTCTTATGACTTGACACTGGCACTAGTTTTTATCAAACTCACATCTTTAGCAAATAAAGTTTATTCAAGCACGAAAACTTGTTGGAAAATCTGTATGAGCAAAATTTTTGGTGGAGGAAGTATTTAAATTAGCAATATTTTGACAACAAAGATGGTCTCATTGTTTTTTAGACTTTAAGTTTTTGTATGTATGATACTTGCCCAGGCGTATGCAGTTTTTGAGACCACGATTGACATTGTACCTCATCAGAATAAAATTGTTACATGTCACATGTCACAAATTTTTAAAAAGAAAACAAAGTAAGATAGATTCAACTTGTGACTGACAAGCTTGTGTCAAATGAGGTTAATCGTGTAAATAAAGTACCTTTTTTGGTGGTATTGCTACCATGATAAAGAATCTTAAATTTGCATTTAGTTGAAAATCAGATGTTTGGAACTCTTTTAAAAAATTGATTATTATTTGAATTTACCAGGGAATTCTAATGGGCTGGTGAAGGATAGCATCATCATGGTATAACCAAGTGTCATCCCCCCTTAAACCAATGCATAATTTATGATTAAGACATAGCCTCCTTCTGGTGGCTAATATGTTCTTTTATTATTCATTCAATATCATCAAAAAATCCAGAAAGAGATATTGTGATTTGTCTTTCTTACTTGTTTCACACGATAGTTCGATAGTTAAATAACATTAGGTGAATCCTGGAAAGACCAGGATCTATAGAAAAATCCAGGATCATCAAGAAGCCATCCAGAAGGCAATGTTTTTAGTTCAAGAACTGATTAAGATTAGCAGTGTTCAAAATCAATGCTAAATAAATGAAATTATCAATCTTCAAACATGAGAGCAAATTATTTTCAAATTTCTTGATGTCATGTTTTTAAATGTTGTGCCCTTTTCTTTTTTCTCCACCACTGAAAATTGCTTAGTGTACATTGGCTAAATGCTCATATCATGTGCCTAGCTCAAGAATTAACATAGCCTGAGTATACTCTCTTGTGAGACAAATGAGGCTAGCTGTCAAAAACCATTAAATTTGACTCAACCATTTATTCTGCTAACAGGAAACCAATTCCATTGGACACATTTATGAAATGTTACATTGGTGTTACTTGGAAACTTTATTTGAATTAGATATGAGCCACTTAGCGCTATAAACAATTGCAGGCATCTGTAAGTATTCATACATTTGTATGTATTCCCAAATCATCGAAAAAATTTCATGTTTTTGAATTAAAATATAGTGTCTTAAATGACAATTTATAATGATTTGACTTTAACAAGGTTCTTTATCTTCAAAGAAATGAAGAAAAAAAGGAAAAATTATCCAGGGAAATGAAATTCCATCAAATAAAATATGATAAAATATGCAACTTTGATTTAAGGTCTGTCTAGAGATTGCTTTAATCAAGTTTTTCACAGCTTTATCCCAAAAAAACATTCCAAATTTTAATTATTTCCAACATTTCCACAACAGAACTGCAATGATTTAGATCAACATTTTTGAAAACAAGCATTAAATTTTTATAACTTTACTTCTAGTTCCTGTTAATAGAGCATTCTGCTCTCATGCAAATAGCCTCTTTGGCTAAAAATGTTGTACAACTATGATAAAAAATTACATGATTCCAATTGACAAATTCTTTGGAGCTTTACACTCCCATGCAAATCTGATATTTTGCACTTGCTTTTATCAGGCAATATTGATCAATGTTTGATACTCCTTTCTGCAGGTTATTTTCAGAGATCATTGCAAAGTAACTTGAAAAAGGCAAACGTGGGATATTTTCTCCCCAGTCAGTACATTAACCAGAAAATCCTTCTTCATCATTCATCACCTTATTAAAGTACAAATTCTTGATTACTCTCTCAAAATGGTAGGTCATGTAAACTCGTTAGGAGGACAAAAAACAACCAAAAAGTCTGATCACAGTCTTCTCCCCTGCTGTGGCCAACAAGAACACATGGTGCAAATGGAGCTGTCGCAATAAGATTAAGACTTTTTTCCCAACAGAAGCATTCTGCTTTCATGCAAAGACTAACTAAAGTGGCACCCATCTGCTGTTTTCAAACCATCTCGATTCATAGAGCGAACAAAACAGATAATCTATCTCTTGTTCAAGATTACAAATGTTCTTTGGCAGAGAAATGACTTACATAAAATTAAAAAAGCATTCTGCTTTCATGCAAAACTATGCTAAGTGAGTATCTTTCACACAAATTCTTAATCTTCACCAAAGTCGTGAAGATGAACATTACAGCCATTTTCGTGTTGTTGTCAACCTTATTTATTAGAGCAATAAAAGTCCTCAAGCTGTGTTTGTAACTTCAAGCTTGAAAACAAGGTGATTTCAGGCTGAATTTGGCCCATACTATCATAACAGGGCCGAGCGATATTTCTTTTTGCGTACAGCGTTAATTCCGGAATGCATTCCTCAGTTGCAGTCTTGAATGTGCCGCTAGTAGCAAAGGCAACAAAATTGGCCTACAATTCAACAAATCTTGTTCATTTATTTTAGATTTCTTACCTTTGTAATAGCAGCTTTTAATGTATTTCTATCTACAGACCCCTTGGGGGCCTAATGCTAGCTAATTATAACTATATTTCATTATTACTAAGAGAAAAATTGAAATCCGTCTCCTCCACGTTGCATGTTGAAGAATGGAGCTCTGGCTGGTTGCGGTTGTTCTGCTGCAGACAATAGAATGCGCCCTCAGAGCGTTTGGATATCGCCGTAAATGTGTCACCGCCGGTGTAGTATGCTAATCGTCCCCCATGCAAAAGTGTCCCCTTTGAGGCGATACGTATATGCGTTTCAGTAACCTTCGTGAAACGGTTAGCGTTTCAGTGACCAAGTGGTAATGGCGGAAGTGTATAGCGAAGCTTCGAGAAAAAGTTCAAGATGCTGATATATTCTAAAGTTCAAGATGACTGTTAAATTTACTGGAAATCCAAAAATATATTATTTATAATGCAAAGATTGCTTAGATTTCTTTGCGGTAGATGATAATAGTAAAGCCGAAATAGAAAGTTGATACGGTGAGTTTAGGCCCATCAGCTTGATTCGTGAAATCGTGGCAAAAACTGATGGTTTATTCACAAGAGACGCTCCCTTGTGTTTAAAATCAATTTTTTTACTCGTGCATACTTGATTGTAAAGAAAAGCTATGTACAAATCTAACATTAATTGCATATGAAAGGCGTGAATGTTGACATATAATTTATTCGTCCCTGCTCTGTTTGGCCTAAGCCTTGCTACAATTTGAATATATAGTAAACTTTATCGTGAATATCGACATTGTCTTTAATCATGCCCATTTAATAGTATTTTTTCCAAGATGCTGCTACTGAAAAGATATGGGGCTAGTGCCCCCTTGAAGCATGCATACATTAGACGGGGAAGATATTCTACCCCATGTTAAAAGGGACAGCCCCTCCATCAAACTTTATGACACCTCTGAAAAAAGTTATCAAAGTCTCTAGAATCAAGGCGGAATTTTTGCATCCTTTCTTTTCAACTAAGAGACAAAGTAGGCAAAGTATTTAGATGTGTATATAAACTGTATACTTTTCAAGTTTAGGCATCTTCTATATCAATAAATGATCCAAATCCCCCTATTAATTTTTTTAAATTGAGGAAATTTTTGTCTGAAAACATTTTATCTTGAATATTCTGTACTGATATTTACAAGTATAAACATAAAATATTGCTAATTCTGTTTTGTTTAAGAGGTAATATTGTTCAGAATGTCTGCTTTTCAATTTGGATGTTCTTGACATTGACAATTATTGTTCTTGGTTTTTCAAACACTCTCTATTGATGCTGAGCTGAGCATTTTCTTTTTCAAATAATACATCTTCTGAAAACTCTTACTCAATAAACTTAAACAAGACAACAATGGATGAGATGTTTCTTGTATAGTGTAAATTTGATATGACGATGTCATCATCATTAATAATATTTAAACACTACAACTGTCTTAGGGTTCACATTACTTTGATAGATGGAAAGAATACATTATTTTTGTTTCTTAAAATTTTTATATGGTTTAAACAATTGACAATCATGAAAAAATTTTCTTATTTGTTTTGTACAATTGTGGGGTCATAATGTTTACTGTATAATACCATGAGATTGTACTTTTTTGCTAGAATAAGCCTGACATGATCTCTGACTTAGCCCTCATTCACTAAGGGGTTTATTGCACAGCTCTTACACAATAGACATTTGTGTTCAGATTTTTTTGCATAAAAATGAGAAATAATAATTGAGAAAAAACAATAAAATCAGAGCTGTTTTTCTCAAAATGCATGTATTTATTGTCAGATTTATCAGACATATAAAGATTTTATGTAATATAAACTTTCAATGCTTTTCTTATTAATGCTTTCAGGTATTTGGCAGACCTTTTTCAGACCTTTTTTCAGACCTTTTTTCAGACCTTTGGGAGATCTTTGGTAAACCTTCTAACCAGTTCAGAGACTACAATGTTAGTTTAATTTTGTGGTTCTTAACTTTCATTAGCAAGACCTATTCAAAAAAAACATATCAATAATATTACTTATGGATATGATAAGAATAAATGCATATGAATATAAAATGCACAAAATCAACTGTGTTAGCCACATCAGGGGTAGGTAGTACCTAGGCATTTCCCTGTTTGGCAAACAAATAACAGATTTCAATGCAAATAGGGGCATTACAAAGTTCAATATGGCCACTTAGCCTTTCAGTGTATCTTTCAGAAGAGGTAAAGGAAATTGTGGTGGTTTTGAAAAAAATAAAGGGAGTGAAGAGGTTTACAACTGATATTTCATACAAAGTCTCAATATAAAAAGATTAGTTACTTATTGGAGTGGAGACCATCCTACTGTAGGCATGGGGGCTGCAAATTTTTTATTTGGCACAAGGACCTTTGGAAGCTGTTCTGACTTTCTGGAGACAAGATGTTTCAGTAACAGATGTCTATAAATTGCAATTTTCCCTCAAATTTCAAGGGAACGGGGGGGGGTGGCTCTTTGGGTGAGATCAGATACCAGGATTCCGCATAGAAAATTTCCTATTAACGCAATTCTGCAAGGAAATTTTCGTTTTACCGCAATACCGAGCTTTCAAATTGAAAACTACCAAATATATCGTAGTCTGAGTTTAGATTCAGGCAAGTGAATTTCGATTAATTCTAAAGATCAAATTTTATGTAAAACTGTTTTATGCACGATACAAGCATGCATAATATTGCCCCTAAATTGGAAAATTCGCAATATGTACACATCTCTTCAAATCACCATATATGAAACTCGACCCTTTTTTATCAAACTATCTAGCATTAGCATGTATTAATGGCGAATTGTATCTTGCAATTGCCCAATCAGAGACCCCTTACTGAAAGGTTTTATGTAAAGGTACAACTAGAATATCAACGACAAAGTTGGGTAGCAAAGGAGGGGACATATAAACTTCTTTGACAAAGAATTACATTCTTCCTTCTGATATCAAAGAGTCTGAGTAAAATGGGATTATTTTTCAACGTTAAAGTTGAAAACATTATCTCGCTATTGCTTACAAAGAATCAACGGAGATAAAGCTGGACACCTTCGCGCCTATAAATAGGCAACTGAAAACTCATCATAATGAAACTTCTTTTCGCTACGAGAAATTCCATACAATGGTGTATTTTGGTACAGGTCAATTCAAATACAAATTGGATGAGATTTGATTTTTTCCAGAACAACAAGACTAATGTTTGTTGATTGTCTTTAAAAGAAATCACAGTAATCATTTAACATAGCCCTCGTCGAATTTTATCAATTTTTCTTCATTTCAGAATTGAAGACAGATACTCCACTTTTTTCCCTTTAGAAAGAATCGGAGTATTAGCAATAAATCGAAGTTTAACCAAAAACGGAATACAAAAATGGAAACACAAAAACAAATTAATATTCAAGTCCAAAGTTTCAATTTCAAAATCTATCAAAACCTTGAAATAGCTTTCCGCCCTTGAATATTCATTTGAAGAGAAAAGTTGTATAAGTCACAGAATGTCGCCTCGTGTCGCAAGTAAATCGAGGAGGCATGATTAAGGAGATATATTTATCTATTAAAATTTGAGAAATAACTTCTTTTTGTTCATATACATAATAATGAAATGTTTTTATTCGACTCATAAAATGCCTTTTTGTAACTACAGAGACAAAAATTCAGCATTCAATGATTATTCAAATTTCATTAGATTTCATTTTCACATTAGTTCATAGAGAGGCTCATCTATGCTTGGGACTAAATATGCTAGTGCGGCTCTGTTATTAACCAGTGTAAGGAGTTAATACAATAATGCTAATATATAATCATATGGTAATTTACTTTATAGTTGTTCTTGTACAACCCAGGTTAAGACTTGAAAAAAACCCACCTTTTCTCCTTTTTTTAACAAAAAAGGCCTTGGAGAATGATGGATCAGAAACTTAAATTAATTTGTTTAAAGTACATGACATGATTAAAGTATATGACAAGAGAGTGTTATGGAACTGGTTGGGACAGAATGAAAAAATTTCCACACCTTTTTGCAGTCAAAAAGCGCCTTTTTAACCCCAGAAAGTAACTATTTTACAAGTAGGATGCCCTCAAGACTAATTTTTTTGGTTACACAGAATAAAGTATAATAATTTCCTAAAATATTACCCCTTCCCAAAATTTTCTCATCAGAATTCGGCGAAATACAAAATCAATTACACCGAGATGTCCCACCCACTCTTTCTCTGTCTCTGCCATTGGGAACTTTGCAGTGGAATGTATACCCAGGCTAAATTTTTTGTGCACCTTGAATCGCATTATAAGACCATACGTCTGCTTACGGTAGCCAAGACCTAGATAGTGGATAGCATGGTCTCACACGAATATGAAACAATATATTGGTTTTACCTATTGATTTCGTTTGACATAACAAATACAGTGGAATCCCGATATAACGATTTCTGAAGGGAACCAGAAAATAGTTTGTTATATCGGAAGTTCGTTAAACCAGGGGTTCATTGTATCAGGATTCCACTGTATGCTATGTTCATGTGTCAATAGTCCTACCTCTTCAGCTGTAATTTCCTCTCTTTATAAGATCTAAATAAAGTTTTCTACGTTTCCCTTAAATTTTTGCCATACAGTTATGAATAAACGTTACTTTGTTTCCATTCAATTTCCACGATATTTTCTACAATTCTTAATGTCGAAATTGCAAACTACAATTCTTAAGAATTTGATGGTAATTTCACTGAAGCAATAGTTATACCATTACAAATTTGAAGAAAGTCAATCATATTTTATTGATCCTATCAATAAGACATTTTGATGAATAATTTAACCAGAGCGATATTTCAATTATTGACCTCTTCCATAGATGTTTTGGATAGGGCAATCAGTTTTTAGGTAAATGTCCCCCTATTGTTTTATAGTGTTCTATAGAGGGGACACTTTTGCATAGTGTCGTTTTGCTATGCGTTTCGGTCCCCCCGGACACTTTTGCATAACAAAACTGTTTTGCACTTTCGCATACAGTTTTGTTATGCAAAAGTGTCCCTCTATTGTTTTATAGAGGGGACACTTTTGCATAGTGTCGTTTTGCTATGCGTTTCGGTCCCCCCCGGACACTTTCACATACAGTTTTGTTATGCAAAAGTGTCCCCTATTGTTTTGTAGAGGGGACACTT